ACTGAATGATTCCGTCTTTCAGGGACGGTTGGCAGCCCTAGTGTTGGTCCTCTTTGGTCCGTTTCTTTAAAGCTGTTCATTAAAGGAAAGGAATGTGTTTAAAAAATACCGACTTTGAGATTGATTAATCATTTTTAGGTTTATTGATTTTTTTTGTTGAAGATACAAACTTTCTAGGAATATAATTTATCCAAAGGTTTGTGCTTAAATCCAACAGTGATGTAAACATCCATTATTGGCACAGTGGTCGATGCAAATCTAGTGCAAAAAGTTTAAATGGCTTCGTTAAACCTGCAGACAGAGAGCAGGGACAAAATAACCCAGATATTCAGAAGAACGTAGTTCCACCAAACTACTGAGCGTTGGCATCATGATCGACTCGCACTGAGACATGATCCATCAACAGCTTTAGGCAAACAATAACATTTCTCCAGGAACAGGAAGACGTAGAAAACCAAAACCAAACAGCTGAGTCGCCGGCAGACCAACTTAGACCAGCACCCAGACAGGATGTGACATCACTGCTTCTTGCTGAGCCTCAGGAAGCGCTGGGACTTCTGCCTGACCATGTGGTGCTGCTTCTGGGCGTCCTGAGCGTCCCATATGGCCTCGTGCAGCTTCTGCGGAGGATCAGAGAGAGGCGGCGTTAGGAAGGGATCCCTGCTCTGCGCTGGTGGCTCCTGTGAGCTCGTCCACATTTTAACCTTTAACACAAACTTAAACCCTCCAACCAAAACAGAGCTAAACTGAAGCGGAAGTCTAAATGATTTCTAAAGCGTTTCTCTGGAATAAAAGCATAGAAGCTACGCTATAGATGCGCCTCCACTGCAGGGTTTGATTCTACCTGCTTTCAACATCTGCAGACTGAAAGCTGTTCACTCAGACTTGAGAAGTCAGGACTTTGACTAGGCCGTTCCAACACGCGACCAGGCAGTGTTCTAAGGCCATATGGAACAAACTTATTGCTAAGAGGAATTTTAGCTGATTAAAGACTAACGTTCATAGAAAGCAGAGATAAAAACACACCGCAGACTTTCTGACCTAAAGACTTGATGCATCTGAGTTATTTAATGATTCCTCAGGCCAATATTCAGAGTTTGACTCTATCAATGCTACCAGCGAGGCCCCCCCCCTCCTGAAATACAGCCTGTTAATGTTCGACTACTTAGACCTTCTGATGAGAATAAAAGAGGAAACATGAAAGGAATCCTCCAAGCTGGAAAATAAGAGTCACCCTCTGCATTTAACCCCTCCCCTTGGGGAGCAGTGTGCTGCCGTCGTGTGGCGCCCGGGGAGCAATGTACTAGCAACCTTCTCAGAGCAAATCGCTCTGCTCTCCCCACCTGACCAACACCCCCACCCGCAGGGAGTGGCGGCCCAGTGGTTAGGGCATAGAGTATGAATCCTGTGGTTCAAGCTCCACTCCCACAGACCGCCACTCTGGGTCCCTGAGCAAAGACATTAACCCCCCACTGCTCCCTGGGCGCCACACGATGGCAGCCCACGGCTCCCCAAGGGTTTGGGTTCGAGTGCAGTGAGTAAATTACGTTGCTCTGTTCTTCTCACAGTGGAATTAGAATAAAAGCTGAAAGAAAAAGGAAAGCATTTGCTGCAGGCTGAGAGAAGAAGCCGGATGTAAAACTGATTCTTTATCATTAGGCTGCTGAGTTAACCCGCTGCTGTTAGTAAACAGTCAAACATCTTTGTTATTTCTGATGCTCAGTAGAAGCAAAATACGCGCTGAGAAGCCAGCAGGCTACAAGCAAACGCTAACCAAGGCGCCAGCGTGCAACCAAGCTGCTGCTCACCATCACCATCCCCTGAATGAGGTTAGTCTGGTTGATGGTTTGATTTCCAATTTAAAACATTGTTTATAGATTAAAATAATTACATTTTTTATTTATTAACATTTGTTGTTTTGGAATTTGCCTTTATTTCAAAATGGGCTGCTCAGTGGTGCAGTGGGAAGCACTGCGCCACTGAGCAGCAAGAAGGTTTCTGGTTCAATTTCCCAGGCCAGGGTCTTTCTGCATGGAGTTAGCATGTTCTCCCTGAGCATGGTGGGTTCTCTCTGGGTACTCCAGCTTCCTCCCTCAGTACAAAAAAATGACTGTCAGGTTAATGGCTTCTCTAAATCCTCCTCAGGTGTGAGAGAATGGTTGTTTGTCTCTGTGTTGCCCTGCGATGGACCGGAGACCTGTCTAAGATGGACCCCTCCCCTCTCTGCCCAGGATGGACCCCCCCTCTGCCCAGGATGGACCCCCCTCTCTGCCCAGGATGGACCCCTCCCCTCTGTCCATGGTGGCCCCCCCTCTCTGTCCAGGGTGGACCCC